ATTCCGGTCAAAAATTACCTGGCGCCCATAAGGTTAAATTTTAGCAGGTTTTTGTTAGGCTCAGGGGAAGTAGGGCGAAGGTAATGGGCATTTCCCATTCACCGGGAAAATGTCACGTTACACTACATACGTCTTTATACGTCCTTGTCTTTATCGGTCTATTTCAGTCTCTCAGTCTATGTATGTGTTCTCTTACTATCATTGAATGAATACTTACCTGTTTGTAGTGAAATAAACAACCACAGATTCTCGCTTGAGGGAAATTAGTCCTGAAACTATCGATCTGGGCCATTTCAAAATCTCCGGTTAATGTTGTCACATTTTCTCTGAGAGAGGGAATCATCTCCAATACTTTTTCCCATATCGCGTTATACATACAGGTCGTCTGAGCTGATGCAAAAACTACGATAGCCGGGAACCCCTGATAAAACATTGGTTATAGTAAATCAGTAGGCTTTTCGGAAAAATTGACCATGTACAACGTACTGAATCCAATTTCCTGAAATGGAGGGCGTAAACCTGCTGGAATCCACGTATCGGAGCTGTCATCTATTGGGAAATTGGAAATGAATGTGGGATTTGAACGAATGAATCCAATCATAATTGTTTGAACACATAAACATGAGAATCCTTACTTTGAAAGTCCCATCGGCATATAATTGCATGCATTGGGACAATGGCTGTCGCATGTCTTCATGCATTATCATAACACCCTGAGAGCCATCATTACCAATGACAGTGCCTTGATATAAATGCTGCAAAGGTGGGTATTCCTGCAGCATTTCTCCCAGCTCTAGTGAACTGGTTGGCGTTGGTGGGACATGTGCTCTGCGGGCATTAGCCATTTTCTGCTTAAACTCACAATAGTAAAAAGGCCAGCAGCAATTGGACGATGCCTGAAAACCAATCAAGTCATTTGGTTCAATCCCACCAGAACGGATGTATAACCAAGACCACTCTAATCGAACTGTTGTCCGAGAATCTGCCCCAATTTTTTTTTCAGAAAAGACCGCTTAGAACGGAAAACGAAAAAGGAAAGTGTTTTTTACTCTGTGATAGAGTAGCGTGAAAATTCATAATAGGGCAACTCCCCTCTTACAAGTGAACAAGTGAACATTCTACGCACTCGTACCGAAATATACTATTCCACTCACCCTCCTTTGGCCTTGGCCCGATTGAATATTTCTTTTGGGTCTTCCCAGCTCAAAGCTAACTGGAGAACTTCCTCCGTGATTTTCTCTCTCAGAGGTAGAAAATGATCCGGCTCATGCCCATGATTCTCGCGAACCATTACAGGTTGATTGGCTAGATTGTCAAGAGAGTTCACATATATCACAGCTCTGCACTGTTCCCGGTTCCTCAATGTGCAACGAAAAATCGTTACTGAAACTCTGGGATCTAAGTGATATGTGTAACCTCCATGAAAATACCTAGTAGTAGTGTTCTGCTTACCAGCCAAGCGTAACATCGTGTACTGTATAAGTGTGAATCAGTCATTATTGAGAAATCATAAGAAAAATTATCCTAATTAGACTTAAATTTATTATTTCTTATTAACGTTATTTTGTTCCTGGTGGATATCTTTATTATTTTTCAAGTTATATATCAGAAAAATTGATATATAACTAGCCAAAAAGGCGGTAGTCCTAATGTATAAAGAGAATGAGAAGCGAATGACAATTGACTCATTAAAGTCGAAAGACATAGAAACTGTGCAATTTGCGTTCTAAAGATTATAACAGTCACCACATACTGGCGCTATTTCCCTTTTCCAAAATTATGCTCACAGGCTCATTATTTCGATGATAATTTCGAAATAGAAATGAACAATGACCTTGAGATCATTTTGCATTCAAGGTTTTCAATCTGTGTTTTCCTTATATATACAAGAGAGAATAATGGCTACCGCTCAAAAATCGAATTGAAGAAGGTCGAAATCGAATAAGGGGCAGGCACACGAAATGGGCGTTAAGGCCCGGCCTTCTCGCGATCTAGTAACTTTTTGTTACTAGAATTCCCTAGATTTTTATGCTTTTCACGGAATTACAAATTACGGCCACAAAAATAGGTAAAAAATCTAAATTTGGGATCAAATGAAAGGTCAGGACCTGGGATATGTCGGCAATTAGGTCTGGGATGAGCGCGGAAGGATAAAATGAGGAGATGGGGCAGGGATGAACGTTTCAGGGTTAAATGGGGGTTGAGGCTGCGACGATCGCGACAGGGTGAGATGAGGAGATGGGCAGGGATGAACATTTCAGGGTTTAATGGAGGTTGACGCTGGGACGATCGCGACAGGGTAAAATGAGGAGATGATCAACCCTGACACACGCGCTCATCCCGGCCCCATCTCCTCATTCTACCCTGGAACGTTCATCCCTTCCTCATCTCCTCATTTTACCCTGTCGCGATCGGCCCAGCCTCAACCCCTATTAAACCCTGAAACGTTTACCCCTGCCTCATCTCCTCATTTAACTCTGAAACGTTTATGCCTGCCCCATCTCCTCATTTTACCCTGTCGCGCTCGTCCCAACCTCAAACCCCATT